ATTAGAGGCAGTCGTCAGTATGCACCTTCAGAGTTCATGTAGCAGTAGCGTCATACTATCTACATGCTTACGTTTGGGTTGGATTCATTAACCGTAATTGGCGTCATGGCAATTAACATACAAATAATCAGTTGACTATTATGGTTAATTCATGATATGACTATAAAAGCTTCAGTTACTTATTTTTGTATTTATTTTTAAATCAAGGGATTTTAGGGGAAATCGACCCGAACAGAATAACAAAATTCAAGATTACAGCCTCAGGTACTGTTTCACGTTTACTTTAACACGATGGTTACGTGTTTTTATAGGCAAACCTTTGGGGTACTGGATAAAAATGAATAACATGAAAAAACCATTGTCTTCCTTCAGCTCCATGGACAGCAGCCTTTCATATCAGTATCCCAGATTTCCGTTTTCAGTAATGATCGTTCTTTTGTTGATCATTATATGCGTCATCGCTATGCTATTTCATCTGAGGAAAAGAAATGCTGGTAATTCGTAATAACGTGGAACTACTTTGAGTTTACCTCACTGCGTTATGTTAGGAACATTCGGAAAATGTTGGTCGCTCAAAATTCCAAGCTACAAATTTGACCTGGCAGAAGCCAAAGCGAATTCGCTTTTGCACACTTCGGCAAAATGGAAGAAGGTAAGTACAAAGTACAACTTGCTGGACGCCCGTAACGATAATGCATATGCTAAGGGGTTCAAGCCTTTGAGCACCGAGGACGTCGAGGAGGTTGATGAAAGTGTGTCGGAAGACAGTGACGAAGACAGCGAAACCCTCTTTTCAAGATCTTCTGCCGTACCCCTAAAAGCGTAGTTGGCACGGCGTTCATGCAAACAGTGGTGACTGATTTACTTCGTCGAACATTTCGGTTTCAACAGCTGGCTGCAACGATTAGTCAATTTTCCAGAAGTGCTTTCATCGACGAAGTGCTTAAAATCAGACATTTTTAACGAGTTGTTTCTCTTTTATCAATGTTCTGTCTTCGTACTGTGATCAGAGAAATTACAGTTTCTCTAAAATCTGCTAGTTTTGCGCATCGAATTGGTGCTTGATCAAAAAGCGCTCTTTGACGTGCTTTCGCAATGAAAGATGATGCCCATTTTGGCTACGTCAATATTTGCCAACGCTCATTCTCAGTTTGTAACCAACTGAAAAAGGAAAGTTTTTAACCGTTGAAATATCACTCTTCCTCACACTTTATAA